AGCCATAAGGGTTTAATTTTGGGGCAGGTCCACCAACAGTGGAGGAACGTCCCCTGTTCTCCACACAGCTTCCAGCAGGTGTTAGGTGTTTTGTGGATGATTGCTAAACGGTGGGGAGTAAGGTACCAGCGAAACAGCATCTTGTATGCTTGTTCCGCATGTGTTACACAGATAGAGATTGAGGCCGTTGCCTCCCATATATCTGCCCAGTCAGTGTTATCCTCCGGGGGTCCTAGGTCTTTTTCCCAAGCCGCTATATATGGCAGAGCTATTTGGGTGGGGTGAGTGACCAGGGTCGTGTAGAGGTCTGAGATTTGACCTCGTCTAAGTGGGTGGTGTGTGCAGTCTTTCTCAAAGCTAGAGAATGTGGCCGTGCCTGCTTGATAGATCATCGGGGTGGAGGCGAAGCTGCGTAACTGAATGTATCGGAAGTGGTCAAATGCCGTGAGAGTGTCAGCGTCTTTGATTTCCGAGTATTGAATTACCTTATTGTTCTGATATAGGTGGCTGAGTCTTACAATGTCTCTTTGGTCGAACTGGGCGAAGTGGACTGGAGTGAGCCCTGGTGGGAAAAGTTTGTTCCTCCAAATCGGGGTCATTGGGGAAAGATATGAGGACAAATCGAATTTATCCTGCAGTCTGTCCCATAGGTCTAAGGAATGAGTGATGGCTGGGGCAGTTGGGGGGGGTAGAGGTCGATATGGTTTAGGGACCCACATATAGAGGGATGGGTGATCTCTGCCAAAGATTGTATGTTCAATGTCCACCCATCGTTTGGTTTGTGGCGGGGCATGCCAGTGCTGGATCTGGGCTAATTGTGCAGCTGCATAGTAGTGTGAGAAGTGTGGTAACCCGAGGCCTCCGCGTTTTTTGGGGACGTAGAGTGTGTTCCTACTGACTCTAGGTTTATGTCCGTTCCAGATAAATTTGTCGACCGCCGTTTGTAGGGTTTTAAGGTCAGCTTTGTTGGGAGGGACGGGCAGCGTCTGAAAGAGGTATAGTAATTGGGGAAGTAGCGTCAACTTTACAGACGTCACCCGTCCCAGCCAGGAAACTCCCAGCTTTGCCCATTTTTGCAGATCACTGTGTGCGATGCGGAGTAATGGTGTGTAATTTTTCGCATATAAGGTGGTTAAGTCTGCTGGTAGCTGGATCCCCAGATAGGTTATGGCTGTGGGGCATATTCGAAATGGGTATTTGTTTTTTAGGGCGTTTAGTTGTGGGTCAGTGAGCTGAATGGGTAGGATTTCTGACTTTTCCAAGTTCAACTTGTAGCCTGCCACCGAGGCGTAGTCGTGTATGGTTTTTAGTAGGGCCTCTATGGATTGTTCCGGGTTGGTTAGTGTTAGGAGAATGTCGTCTGCGTAAGCAGACACCATGTATTTTTCGCCTCTGATAGTTACTCCCTCTACCTGAGGGTTGTTTCGGATTGCTTGGAGTAAAGGCTCTAACGATAGGGCGAACATGAGGGGCGATAGTGGGCACCCTTGTCGTGTGCCATTTGAAATCGGGAATCTGGGTGGTGTGATGTTGGGGAGCAGGAGGGCTCCTTGAGGGGAGTGGTATGTTGCCTGCAGGAACGCTATGAAGGCGCTCGGGAAGTTCATATGTACCAGTGTGCGGTAGAGGAAGGGCCAGAGTAGGCGGTCAAACGCCTTTTCGGCGTCTAGGGAGATCACGGTGGTAGGGAGTTTGCGGTGAAGAGTGAGCCATATGAGGTCTTTGTTTCTGCGTGTATTGTCTAATGCCTGCCTATTGGGAATGAAGCCCACTTGGTCTGGGTGTATTAATCTGTCTAGGTACGGGTTGATTCGGTTGGCCATCATCTTGATCATGATTTTAAGATCTACGTTTAATAGGGAGATGGGCCGATAATGTTCGGGTTCCGTGAGGTCTTTGTTAGGTTTGGGGAGTAAGCAGATGTTTGCCATCGTCATGTCCTGTGGGAGGTGTTCGCCTCGCAAGGTAGCGTTGAATACTGCACAGAGGTGTTTGAGGAGTAGGGGGCTAAACTCTTTGTAGTAGAGAGCAGTGTACCCATCGGGGCCCGGGCTTTTATTAGGTTTACAAGCCCCGAGGGCTAATGCCATCTCTTCCACTGTCGCCTCTGCTTCTAAAGCTTGTTTGGCGGCTTGGGAGAGGGTAGGTAGGGTTATGTGTTGGAGGTAATTGTCTAGCTGTTCCCGGTAGCCATGGAGTCGTGACCGAGGTGTGGTGAGTGGTTATATAGGGATTCGAAATATTGTTGGAACGTGTCCCCGATCTGCTCAGGTATGTCGCTGATCGAACCCGTCCTCGTACGTATAGATGATATTTTTTTGGCCTCTAAGCGTTTTTTAAGCCGACGAGCTAACATGGTGTCGGCTTTATTGCCTGATTCATAGTATTTTTGTTTGAGCCACATCAAGGCTTTGGTCGTGTCTGTGTGCATTAGTCGTTTGAGGAGGTCTCTGGCAGCAGTAAGTTCGCGCAGAGTACGTGGCTGTGGGTCGCGTTTGTGGCTCGTTTCGAGCTTTCGTAGCTCCGTCAGTGTCTCCGTAATTTGCTGTGTCTTCTTTTTTTTTATGGGCTGACGCTAGGCTAATGAGAATGCCTCTGATCACTGGTTTGTGTGCCGCCCATAGCGTGATTGGGGACTTGGCTGATTCCGCGTTTGTGGCGAAGTAGTCCTCAATGGTTTGAGCGACTGATTGCCTGATTTGTGTATCATGGAGGAGCAGTGGGTTTAATTTCCAGGTCCATGGTCTTTTGAGGTCTGGTAGGCGTATAATAATTGTTATGTCTGCATGGTCTGACCACGATATGGAGCCTATAGAGGTGTGAGTTATCTGCGATATCAGATTTGGGGAGAGTAAGAAGTAGTCGATGCGTGAGTATGAGGCGTGTGGGTGCGAGTAGAAGGTGTAGTCTCGGGTAGATGGATGTTGTGCTCTCCAGATGTCTACTAGTGTTTGCGTGGTTAGGAAATGGGCAAAGTGGGTATCGCTTCGAGAAGGTTGTGGAGCTTCCGTCCCCCGCGATGATCTATCGATGGCTGGCATGTGTGTAGCGTTGCAGTCGCCGCCTACTATCAGGCGTTTGCCTGCGTAGGCTTGTAAGTGTGTAGCGTATTGCAGCCAAAACGTATTGTGTGGGGTAGTGGGAGCGTATACTGAACTTATAGCATATGGTATTGCTCCTATTTTCCCTTCTATCGTCACATAGCGGCCTTGGGGGTCGCTTGTGCTCCTGATATCTGTTAAGGGGCATGTGGTTTTGAGTACAATTGCTACCCCCTTCGTCTTCGTGTCCGGGGAGTTGGCCATGTAGCTTTGTTTATAGTATCGGTTGGTGAGAGGGAACGATCTCGTGGATGTGAAATGTGTTTCTTGCAGGAGCAATATGTCTATGTGTTGCCTATGTGCCCATCGTAGTAGGCCATGTCGCTTAGCGGGGGTGTTGAGGCCCTTGGTGTTAATAGAAACGCATTTCAGGGATAGTGGCATGATAACGGTCGTGCCCCCGGTTCAGGTCCAACCGCAGTCTGTGTGGTGCGTTGGTGGGTGGTGGGTCCAATGGTTTGGAGGCCGAGCGCCCGGCCGGGGCTCCGCGCCGCGACTGTGGATTGGCAGGGGGGTTATGAGGTGGGAGGGAGGATGAGGGGTGGTAGTGGGAAGAGGGGGGGTAATGTGCAAGGGTGAGGTATTGGTAGTATGGGCCCTGGAGGGCCAGGCTACTGGTCTTACTCGTTGCCAGTAGGTGGTGGAGTGGTCCGCCTGACTGCTCCGTATGCGTAAGGGGTAGGTGTGGTGATAGGTTGGTGGGTAGTGGCAGTTAGCCAGAGTTGCCTACAGGCCCGTTGTTGAAGTTGTTGCAATTCCTTGTAGGGGTGTGGGTTGGTCGTGTTATTTGCCAGCTCTCAGCATCCCCGGCGTCACTCCCCCCCACCCCCGCCACCCCCCACCAGAGTAGGGAGGCCCGAAGGGGGAGGAGCAAGGCCCCAGGTGTATGTCGCCAATAGGCGTAAAGTGTGTGTGAGTACTGTACCCATAGTCGGTCTGTGTTACGGGAGTCTCAGTCGCTCTGGGAGGCTGTGGTTTATAGTAGGGCCGTCCTCTCTAGCGTCAGTCTTCGTCTTCCCTTAGTGACCAAGGGGTGGGGCGTCCTGTGGAGTAGTCTTGTCTCCGCATGTAGTACACTGGAATCACAGTTGGAATAACATTAAGCAGAATAATGACTAGTGCAAGTCCGTTTAAAAGCATTAAAATTCTCAAAACAGGTGCGCCCCCGTTGCACATAACAGAATATAATGTTTAGATCTCAGAGAAAAGTGTTTTGCCGTGTCATATGCCGCGGGCTAGTTTTGCCATGCCACCTCTAGTATTATTCCCTTCAGGTATGTGCTATATGTGGGTATCAGTAGGTAGTGGCGTATCCTCTAATGAGTTGTTGCCTAGCCTATTCATATCGCTTCAGTTGTACTTTCTCGCTGTGATATATAGTGCCTTAGTCTTTGAAGACGGTGGCTGGTCAGAGTGGGTGATCTCAGGCCTTGGTAGCATGTGAGTTCCCTGTATTACGCTGCTTAAGACAAATATGTCGTGCTGTTGGCTGTCTGCCTGCGTTTTTGTTTTGTGGTGCATTTTTCTCTACAGTTTTTATTTTTTTTTTTTTTTCCCCTTCCTTCGTTTATGAGTTGCCGTCCCCCCCTTTTTTTTTATTATTTTTTTGTGTCGTCTCCCCTTTCCCTACCTCCCTGTACCCCCCTCCTGCCCCCCCTCCAGTTTAGGTGCGTTGTATAGAAGGTAAGGTTGTTATGAATGTGTTTCGTGCATGCGCAGGGGCCTACAGTGTGTGCTGGTGTGTGCGAGCAATTTTACAGCAAAAGCTTAACAAAAAACAAACAAAGAGAGATGAAGGAAAACATTGAGGCCAAGAGAGTCTTATCTGTCAGTCGGATGGTGGAAGGTGCATCATGTCGGCGGGCTGTCGGGATCCTGAGAGTCCTGGTTGTGTGGGATTCAGTGTCCTTGGGTACTTGAGGTGTTGAGGGTCTTGTCGGTGCGCCGGAATCCGGTGGAGCTGGCCATGCGCAGGTGATTTGCTGATTGGCGTCGGTTATTCCCGAGCGTCTGGGCTCGGATCTCCCGTGGGTGGGTGGCGTCGTTGGTGGTCCGAGTCGGCTCTTCGGGTCGGAGAAGCGGAGGCCATGTTGAGCCCCCCATCGTTATTGGTATCCTCAAGGGGTATGCCCAGCTGTTCTGCAAAACTGCGTGCTTCAGCGATGTCGTGAAGAGTATGCGTGTGATTGTTTCTTCGCACCGTGAGTTTAAACGGGTGCCCCCATGTATACCGGATCCGTCTCCGTGTAAGTGCCTGAGTGAGCGGTCTCAATTCTCGTCGCTTTCGCAGAGTGCTCGGGGCCAGGTCCTGGAAAAACAATACCTGGTGTCCCTCAATTTGTAGGGGTGTATCTCGTGCCGCTCTCATGATGGCTTCCTTAATATGGTAGTAATGGAGCCGTACTATCACATCCCGCGGTGTTGGCATTCCGGGGATGGGGGCCCGCAGTGCTCTATGGGCGCGATCTAGCAGTAGTTCAGCTGGGGGTGCTTCTGGGAGTAGACTGCAGAAGGTCTCCCTGATGGTGGAGGAGAGGGACTCCATATCTATGGTCTCAGGTAAGCCCCTGATTCTTATATTATTCCGCCTGGAGCGATTGTTAAGGTCTTCTTGGGCTTCTTCAAGCCTTTTCACCTGCTCTGTGAGGTTTTGTAGTGCCTGCTCGTGGGTGTTCGCTCTGGAGGAGGTGGCAGCCATCTTGTCCTCTAGGGAGCTGGTGCGTTGCACGAGGTCTGTCAGGCCCGCCCGCAGAGGTGCCAGGTGCTTGGCAAATTCCGCCGCCATATTCTCCTTTATATCTTGAAGTAAGCCACGGAGGTCCTCCCTCGTGATGGGGGTTGTATTCCGGTGGCTCATGTCGCTGGCTGTGGAGTCGGAGTCAGACTCCCTCTGTTCCTCCGCCCGCCGTCCCTCCTCTGGTGCGCGGGATCTGAATATCGGGGCCACCGCCGACCCCTTTGAGGATTTGCGCCCGCCGCCCATATCCTCGGGTGCACTGAGGGTAGGTGGTTCTGTGGAGGGTGTTTGTGCGGTAGTAGGGTGGGAATTGCAGCTTGTGTGTGCTTCTGTAGGGCCTGCTAGGAGCGGAGCTCTAGCAAGATGCCGCCATTCGCGCCGGAAGTCAGGCGCCGCCCCCCTGATATTATTTTTAAACCTTTGTCCCTCTAATTTAAGACTATTTCCTCTTGTTGTGGTAGTTTTTCTTCTTTTAAATATAGTCTCCTCCTTTACTGTGTTGACTCCCTTTATGTATTTAAATGTTTCTATCATATCCCCCAGTCTCGTCTTTCCTCCAAGCTATACATGTTAAGATCCTTTAACCTTTCCTGGTAAGTTTTATCCAGCAATCCATGAACCAGTTTAGTAGCCCTTCTCTGAACCCTCTCTAAGGTATCAATATCCTTCAGAAGATACAGTCTCCAGTACTGTGTACAATACTCCAAGTGAGGTCTCACCAGTGTTCTGTACTATAGTGTCCCTCTCCTCCTGCGGCACCCGGCGAATGAAGGGTTAAAAAAAACTAATTTTTTTACTTACCTGTTTCCAGTGCTAATGTCGCCCCAACATACGCCAATATCTATATGAATCACATGGAGGAGACATGCATCTATAATCATCCTCTTTTCATTAAATGCCTTGTGTGGAAACGTTACATCGACAATGTTTTTGTGTGTTGGGGCGGCACTAGAGCCCAGTTACAATAATTTTTTTACTCATTGCATGATCTAGACCCCAACATTAAATTCACAATGTATTGTGACAGGTTGACCGTCCCATTCCTGGATGTTCAAGTACATAGGCTAAACAACAGACGTCACAGTGATCTATATACAAAGCCTACAGACAGGATTAACTTACTTACATTTGAAGAATGGCCTACCATACAGTCAGTTGTTGCATGTTAAAAGATAGTATCGCAATAATAGAAAGTCTGTACAGGACTAGATTTTATGTCTCAGAAGTTTATGGAAAGGGGTTATCCCTCACACATTATTCAAACACAGAGAGAAAGAGTCCAGGGTTTGACACGTGAGGAAATCCTCCATAGGGTTAGAAAAAATAACAAAACCAACAGAATCCCTTTTGTATCCCCTTATACTCCCCTCAACAGGGAGATTCAGAGAATCATAATGAAGCACTGGCAATATTTGAGGATGATACACATTTGCCAATTGAATTTCAGAATCCTCCATTATTTTCATATCAAAGGGCACTGAATCTTAAGGACTTTTTAGTGAAATCAGATGTTGGCACCTGTAGGAAACAAACTAGGTTTTTTTCTGAACCAAAGAAGGGCACTTTCCCTTGCCTGGGTTGCTCACACTGCAGCAGTGTAATCAAGGGGGAATTTTTTGTTCACCCCCGTTCTGGGAAGAAATATATGGTTAATGTTTTTTTCACATGTAACTCGGACTTCGTTGTGTATATCCTGAAGTGTCCATGTGGATACGTTTATGTGGGGGAAACCATCAGACCTGTTAAAGAGCGTATAAGGGAACACAAAAGTATCAGAGCAGCCTTACAGAGAGGTGTCTGTGAAGCCCTAGTACCTAGGCACTTTAACCCCATGACCATGGAACTTAATCAGTTGAGATTCCAGGTTATTGATAGAGTCCCACCTCTGAGGAGAGGTGGCTATAGCCAGAGAATCTTACTACAGAGAGAGACTAAGTGGATTAGTATATTGGATACTCTGTCACCATCTGGTCTCAATAAGGATTATGATCTGACACACTTTCTATAAGTTTTACCTCTTAAGCTTGGGTTGATACCCTTAACCTCATGTGGATGCTCAAAACTAATTTTACCTTGTGCTCCTTATAATGTTCCCTTTAGACCAAGATTGGTCCGTACCTCTTGCGTGGCACCAATTAGATCCACGTACGTCCACTACCTGGCAGTTGCCGGGGTCCCCCGGATGGAGTGTCTTTGGCTACTTTTGGAGACTACACAACTGGTAAGTCAAACTAATCTTTACCTTTTCCTTTATCAATTTTCCCTTCCCTATTTTTGTTCTTTTTTTATTTTGTTTCTTCCGGTTACTGTATATCTATTTACTTTTATGTCCCCCTTGACTCCTACTACGTTTGAGCTACTAAGTATAACTTTATAAAGATATGCAATATGCCAGTAGCCTGTACATGATATGTATGACCTAATACTGTCAGTAGTATTGTCATGCCTTTGCCTAACATATTCCTCATTTTATTAAATTGAGGTACCTTGTTTTTGTCATATGCAAGAAAACAGGTATAAGTTAATTTGAACAAGGCTATATGTCTATTATTAATATATATGTTTGAGTACTACCCATTGCTAGCTATAACGCTATGTCTATGGCTAAAATATTCCTTCATTGATGCCAACTCTTTGACAGATAAACAGTTCCTTATTGGTATTAATGATTACTTATTTTAAAAAAATCCCCTTTGTATTGCTCTGATTGGTGTAATTACACCCATTGTAAGCACGAGACAGGAGACAACAACGGACCGGAAGGGGACTATACAACAGTACTACTTATCCCGAAAGCTGCAATTCCGTACTTAAAGATACAGAGAACCTCACCGGTCTGCATTATACTTATCCACCTCATATTTGTGGATTCTGCTCTGCACTCTATATACACAGCTAGAGTGACTCATGGTGAAATCATCATTTACAAACCTACTCAAGAGAAATCCTATCATTATAGTTTTTTTTTTTTCCGATATTTTTTCATATTTTTTTAAATTTCTATATATTTTTGTAATTTCTTTTATTTTTTTCTATTTCTTCTTTGGTACAAATAAAGGAAATACAAGATATATTTTCGTGTCTGATCAGACTATCAATGGCTATTCTAGCATGAATTATTGGTGGATCCAGTGGGCTGTATATACTTTCTTTTATCACTTATCAAGTTATATCTATTAGGTGTATATAGGATTAGTTGTACATATTTTTTTGTGTGTGTATATATATATATATATATTAATTATTGTATAGTGAATGAACTAACAGAGTGTACACCATTCCGTATATTTAGCTATAGTAGTCTTCATACTTTTTTGCTTTCTATGAATATATACTAAATGGATTTTGCATTCTATTATCTAATATATTGTACATATCTCTTTTTGATGCCTATTATATGCGATTGAGTGCAGTATTTATAGTGATCTATTTTAATAAAATAGATATGTTTTAAACAATTGTCTATGGATTGCATATTTAAAGAAACAATATGGTGTTGGGAATACAGAACTGTGTTCCCAACACTATAGTGTCCCTCTGCTCTCGCGGCACCCGGCGAATAAAGGGTTAAAAAAACACACCTTTTTTACTTGCATGTTTCCAGTCCTGAGGTCCCTTATTGCTGGATTGCTTTTCACCTCCTCCAACGTCATGGCAGTCCAGTAACCTAATGGGCACAGTGTGCGCTGCAGTACCCTATAGGACCTATCAAGCCACATATAGTATGAAGGCAAGGCAGAACCCTTCACCCCCTTAATGGAAGATATGGCTGACTTTATCTCTTCTAATGTGATATCTGCCCCCAGGTAAATCTATAATCCACAGGGATAGTGGGTAAATTCAGGTACACCATGAACTCAGCCAGAAGAGCATCAGCTCCCTCGCTGTCTCCCCCAGTTCTGGAGTGTGGTTATATAGTTGGAAAAATAATCTCGAAACACCCCATATATCTTATCTCCTGGATGACTTAATCTGCCAAGCCATGTCATCCAAAAGCAACTTTCTAATCTGTGCATGCAGGGCCCCAAGAAAATGCAATATACTGTCTGATGGGGCTGATTTGTGCTGAGCCAGGACCAGGGTGAGTCCGGATATAACCCCTTGATATACACAGCAATATCTGCATGGTCTGACCATGTGATATTATTTATTTATGATTTGCTAAGAAACAGAGTCAATTTGAGGTTAGAAAAACATATAAACCCGAGAACACGTGCCGTGTGGGGCCAAGTAGAAGGAGAAGTTGGATTCACCTCCAGATATCCACCAGCCTGAATGATTTGATGAACTCTGATATCACAACTACTTCAGTCTAAAACTCCTATCCATCGCCGTGCAAGAGACATCATTACAATTACCCCCATTA